CCCGCCCCCCCCAAACAGACACTATATTTGAAGGCAATGTATAACACCTAAAGTTTGATATCTATAATTAAATCACCTCGCTGTTAATCATAATTAATATTACACTCTTTTTCCATTATAAAAATTTAATAAATTCAATGACCATAAAATTCATCATAATCATATTTAAGTTAAAAATAACTCCATCCAAAGATTTCCCCTCAAACAATACAATAATAGAAATTATACCTTACCAAACCAAAACAATCATTCAAGCGCTTTACTAGATGGATCAATACACATTCTTGCCACAAAAAAAAAAAAAAACGTGAATAATATTTTTCAAATATATATATATATATATTTGCATATTATTGAAATGTTAAATTACATAAAAAAAGGATAGAAAATGCAAACATTGTGAGATATATTTACAGAGCAATTTGCTCCACTGATTGTTTACAAAAACCTAAAAAGGGTAAGAAAACAAGGACGTGAATTATTTACATTCTGATACAAAAAAGAATGTGTTTAAATATTCACCTACAACAAGGACCAAAAAAAAAAACAAATCAGATGTTGATACTTGATCCCTTTTTGCACCAATATTATTATTTATTATGTGACATTTATATAAGTACCACCCAATTTCTATGTTTTTACATATCTAACAACTAAGCTCTACTTTTTACATTCATACCACTAAAATCTTTCATATCAAGTCAAAAATACCACCATTTTAACTTCTAAAAAAGTAAAATATACATTTTCATACAAACATAAGATGGCATGCATGTAAAAGTTAAAGTGTTGATGTTAGATATGTAAATACATAGGAATTAAGTGGTATGTATGTAAATCATCCTATATATTTAGATATATATGGAGAGAAATCATATTTACTTACATTTATGTACATAATTGCAGGTGGAATTAAGTTGGAGCTGGAAAATTTGCCCAGTGTAGCTCACCAGTTGCTGGAAATCGTGTAGCAGTAGCCGGAGGCAGAGAATTGGGTGACCAGATTGGGAATAGCTAACAAACTAGGCTGAAGTCTTGAGACTTGCTAGGGAACATCTATGGCCTGGAGGAACCAAGATACTTGTTCATAGATTCTTTCTGGTGCTCTGGGTCCAGGCTGAAGAGAAAATCAGACAGAGGTTAAATGTTTGAATGAATTTCTTTTTTACATATCTAACATCTAAACTTTGATATTTACATACATACCACTCTAACTCGTTAACACTACAAAAAAAATACCAGCATTGCTATTTTTTTAAAAGTCAAATACACAGTGTCATGATAACAAGGCGTTAGAAGGGTAAATATTAAAATTTCAGTATTAGACATGTAAATACATAATAACTGTGTGGTATATATGTAATATCATTTTTCACAAGGAAGTCCCAGCTACAAATTTTTTTCAGAGTTACTACAAAAAAATTTTCTGAAGTAAATTCCGAGAAAATCAAGAACAAATCATCCAAACAGTCCTAATAATGATTTGAAATCTCTTAATGCAAAATTCGCATAGAAACATCCTCTGATAAAAAGGTTATCTGTTTCAAAAATCTTATAATGGAAAAATAATCTGTAACAAATGAACTATGTTTGAGAAGGGAAATTTTGAGCCAAGATATAGTGATTCAAATTTAATCAGAATGCTTCATATATTCATCAGATTTATTTTGAGATGAGCATAATAAATGATTAACCAATCGAAAATTGTATTGCATTCATCTGGGAGTAAACAAAATAGCTATAAATCCCATTGCATACACAAATAAGGTTGTATGGAAATTTTTACGCATACAACTGAGCCCACCTGCCGAAATAATTAAACTAGTTGCTTCCACCCATGAGAGGCGGCCTAGCCCACATAGAGAGATACAACTATTGGAGACGGTCTTCACTACCAACAAGGACATAGGTTCATCCATCTTTAATAGCATTACCTAACATCCTTACCACGATTTTTGCAATGGGAGTCGTACACCACTCAAGTTTGTAAGATAGATTAGTTAGCAACATCTATATTAATCTTGATCAAGCAGTAGAAGCTACGAAACGGAAAATATATGAGCATTATACACCTGTTTCTTTAAGAATTCTTTGTAAACTTGTTCTACATATGTTTGCACTCATAGTCGATTTGCCTCCACTTGTCTCCAATACAGAGTTGATTAACATTTTAGGAGGAGAATGTTGAGCACTGCTTCCCTTTTTTTAAAATATGAAATAGTTTTATAAACGGTATTGCATATGTGTTGCTGCAAATTTGAAGCTTGTACGATAGAAAATTTAGCATCATCTATAACTATCTTGATAAACCACTAGAAGATATGGAATTAGATATATTTGAGCTTTATTCATTTGTTTCTTTAAGAAACTGTTTATTTTAGTATATGCAAGAATTTTACAGATGGAATTGCATATGCTTTCTTACAAAGTTGTTAAGTTTGCATGATAGCTAAGCTAGCAACATTTATAACAATCATGATCAACTAATAGGAACTACGGAATGAAATATATATGAGATTTGTCCATATGTTTTTTAAAGATTTACTATTTTAAATAACCTCGGTGTGGAGTAACATTTCGGGGGGGCGGGGAGCGCTATTTTTTTCTTTTTTTTTTTCCTTATGTTGAGACTTATAAATAGAATTGTATATGCTCTGCGGCATATTTGAAGTTTGCATGATAGATAAATTAGCAGCATCCTTACCTGTTCTGATCAATCAGTAGAAGCAATGAGATGAAATATATATAAGCAATGCTTATCTATTTATTTCAGTTTTTTTTTTTTTTTGTTTATTATCTTTAGATAGATATATGAGCGCTGGTTTTCAGTTTATCTGACAAATTTTGCTAGTCGAATTATTTGCTCTTATCTCCTCAGTGTAGAATAATATTTTGGGGGAAGAACATTGAGCACTGCTTCACCTTTTGGTTTTTTTTTTTTGCTTAGACTTTTATAAATAAAACTGTATATCCTTTGCTGCACATTTGAAACTTGCATGATAAATAAGCTAGAAAAAACCTTATGTGTTCTAATCAATTAGTAGAAACAATGAGATGAAATAAATATGAGCAATGTTTATCTGTTTATTTCAGTTTTTTTTGTTGGTTTATTTTCTTTAGATAGATATATGAGCACTGGTTTTTAATTTGCCTCATAAATTTTGCCGGTAAAATTGCTTGTTCTTTTCTCTTTCTCAGTGTGGAGTAACATTTTGAAAGGAGAATATTGATCACTGTTTCTTTTTTATTTTTCTTCTGCTGAGACTTTTATAAATAGAATTGCATATGTTTTAGTGCACATTTGAAGTTTGCAATATCCAAAAATTATTATGGAAGCCATGAAATGAAATATATTTTAGCATTTGAATGTTGGGCACTGATCAAACAATATAAGCTATGTAATGAAGTACATTTTAGCATTGTTAATTTGTTTCTTTCAGAATTTTATGTGTAATTACAATGCATATGTATTCATTGAGGATATATCCCAGATAACATCAAACGGGGATGTCATTCAAATGTTATTTAGAGTGATTATGAAAAATAACCATCAAAGGGCTCAACCGATCACCACTTATCAATTTTAAATTGGCAAGTTTGTTTTCCCACAGACACTACCTGTCGCAAGAGAATATGTTCAAGTGTTTATTCGATTTGGAAAAATGGTGATTATATATGGAGTCTTCTTTCGGTAAGAGATCTTATTGAGCCTAATTGTTGCCTCGAGGACCTTCGATTTGGCTAGCAAGAGAAAGAAAAAAATGGTTATAAGTATCTTATCACATGTAATCTGAGGGTTCACATTAATGCATGAATATGCAAAACACGTACACAAAAAATTCTGAAAGAAACAGACGAGCAATGCTCATATATATTTCATTCCATTGCTTCTATTGATTGATCAATATAGGTATATGGCTTGTTGATTACCATTGTTTTCCTCATTATTATAGTCATTTGCTTCAAATAACTAATCCTTTTTTTTTTGTGTATTAGAGTATTTGGAATGGGACTGTTAGTTTTTTCTAGCAGTACGACTTCTTTCTGTTATTTAGTTCTGAATATTATAAAAGCTGCACTTATTTTAATGAATTACACATATAAGGGTAAAACAGTATTTCTCAACAGAAACAACAGCAACACAACAAATCTCCCAAACAGACACATGTTTCTTCATCAACAGTTTTCTGACAACTTCTGAAAAGCTGCTTCTCCAGGAAGCAGTTTTATGGCAGCATCTTGAAAAAATAGCAGCCGCCCTAAACGCACCCATAATCACAATCATACTCACATAGGCATACCTCAGGTTTTTATAATAGGTGGACACAAATGATGAGCGAGGACCAAAAATTAAAAAGAACTTGAGCCTAAGAGGAAAACAAAAAAAGGGCATTTACATACATACCACACAATTTTATATATTAATATATCTAACACCTAAACATTGATATTTACTGCAGACAGCTCAAATTTTTAACATCACATAAAAATTGCCACTATTACTAAATTTTAAAAAGTGAAATACATATTTCCATGCATAGGTTTATTATACCCGAAGAGTCATGAATGTAAATATCAAACTTTAGGTGTTAGATATGTAAATGCATAATAATTGTGGCACCCCCCTCCCAAAACAAAATACACCACATTAATGATAAAATTGAACAAGCCAAAAAATTTACCTGTTTCTCATTCCAAGAAGAGCGCAGCGCATGGCATGAGCAGAAGCAGTAACAGGGGCTATAGCTGCTGCAGGAGCTGCACGGACTGCAGTTGCTAGAGCAGATCCAGCACTGGCACCTCGTCGATATTCTGTGATCGGAGTTCCGAGTATTGCACGAGCCGTCCTACTGAAGCCATCACTCAGACTCTCATATGCCTATGATTTCAATGCATAATGTGTGAGAAGATATCATAAACAAATAGAGAAATTCACATACATACCGCACAATTCTTATGTATTTACAAATTTTATACCCAAGGTTTCATATTTACACTTAGAACAGATTGGTGTCATAAACCTATGCATGAAAATGTGTATTTCACTTTTAAAATGGAAGTAATTTTGATATTTTTGAAGTGATGTTAAGGATTTGAGTGGTACGCATGCAAATATGAATGTATATGTGTTATATATGTAAAGACACGAGTTGGGTGGTATGTACGTAAATGCACCGAAAATATAATACTCTATATATAAGGCTGCATGATACAAAAAAATTCAGACTGATTACATCACAATTTTCGCCAGCCACACGATGGCCATGTCCCTGTCTCAATTATGGTAAAACAAGGGAATTATATCACATTTATGTTTATTTTCGTCTGAAATGCTGGATATTGGGCGATTTTGGAATCTTATAATTCTTAGTAATCATATTACTGCTTATAGTATTTTGGCATGTATAGGACTTTTTAGCTGATCTCCAAGTTTATATAAGGAAAAAAAAAAGAATAGGCTAAACTTCATGTTTGTTATAAATGAATTTACAAATACTTTTTGAATAATATCACAAACTGATATAGGACCAGACAACCGAGTGATGACTTTCAACTATTTTACACCAACGGAAGATAATTCATCTTCCCAATGTGTTTTCAAGAATTGCCACATTAACCGTAAACAGTACATCAACATTTCTAAATCTCTCTGTTGAAAACTGGTTAATTCAATAGTTTCCAACATTTTTTTTCAAATGCCAACCTCAAGATCTCAAAAATAATTAATCAAGCTTATTCAACATACGGTTATTCATGATAGCTTGAAGGAACGTTTACATACATACCAGTCAATTTCTATGTATTTACAATCTAACACCTAAATTTTAATTTTAGCATGCATACCACCTTACCTTGAAATGAAAAGATGTATTTCACTTTTAAAAAGTTAAAATGGTGGTATTATTTATGTGATATGGATATGAAATATTTGAATGTGATATGAAATATTTGAGTGGTATAAATGTAAAAAAGCAAAATTTAGGTGTTAGAAATGTGAATACATAGGAATTGGGTGGTATGTATGTGAATGCCCAGAGAATGTATACCTGGCGAATGCCTTCTTGTGCATCTGCAGGCTGATTAGAATTTGCTGACTTTTTTCTTCTATTCTTATCGGACGGTGATGGTGCATTAGATGGAATATTCCTAAGAATGAATTCTGTCTGAAGAAGTATCTCATGAGCCCCTGATGCCAAATGAACACCCAATCCAACAGCTTCAAGAGAAATACTTTTAACAAAAGCTATTGCTCCTGGAAAAAAAAGAAAGAGAATTACATAAAATTTCAAAGATGGGGCAATTACATGCATAGTACACAATTCCTATGAATTTACATATCTAACACCTAAGCTTTAATATTTAAAAAACCCAACACTCAAATCTTTAACATCACTTTTACTAGCTTTTAAAAACTCAAATGCACCTTTTTATACATGTGTTTTTTGCACCAACTGTAAATATCAAACTTTAGGTGTTAGATACGTAAATCCATAAAAATTGTGTGGTAAATATGTAAATTTTCCTTTAAGTTTGTAAAACTACCTTATGACTCTGCTCTATACAAACTTATACTATGTCCTAGAAACAATGAAGTTGACACAAGCAATAACATAAATATTATGATTTAGATGTTTGGTCGTGATATTTAGGGTTTAGCAAGTTTCGGTGAAACATGGGATCCGGAAATGGAATTCTAGCAGAATTTCTAATGACAGGGTAAGGATATAAGTAATAGGAATAGACATATCAAATTGGAGAAAGTGAGATTAAGGGCCTGTTTTGGGCGGCTATTAATTATTTATAACCTACTGATAAGCAGATTATTATGATAATCTGATAATCTGCAGATTATCAGAATAAGTTGGTTTGCTGTTTGGGGCAACTTATTCAGAACAGCTTACTGGGAGTTGTTGTTGCATAAATGACTATTTTGCCCATGTTCGGTTAAGTTGTTTCATAAGACCCTGTTTCGGTGTGCATTTTGACTCGATTCATCCGATCAAAGCGAATTTATATGCAGATTACTATATTCAAAGAAAAGATTCTAGCATTAATTGATCATTTGAAATCTTTCAAACAATTGTATCATCTTTCAAACAATCATTTGAAATCTTTCAAACAATTGTATCATTGAAAATTGACCAATGGACTTGGGAAGCCTTACACTGGTTAGTAGAAAAAAACTCCAATCTCATTGTCTGTTGTCAATTTATGGCCCTTATACGATTTAAGGCCCTTATACGGCAAACAATATACAAGACATAAAAGAGAATTACTACTATGTAAGTTAGTTTTTCTTTTCATCTATTTTTATATATATAAAAAGTATAGGCTCAGATGGTTCTCCAATAAAACCCTCCAATCCATTTCATATCACCCCTAGAATTTCTTAAAAAGCAGAAAATAATTACTGTCAAGCAGACTTCAATCCTCACCTGGAGCCGGGAGGGAAAGGGGGTTCGATGGAGATGAAGAGAGAAGCGGAAGGTATGATGCGGAAGAGCTGGGGGATGCGACAGAGAGGACGATCTGAAGACAGAGCTGAGTTTTGCAGGAGGAAACTTCGTCGGCGAGCTTGTTGACAAAGTCGAAGGAGATGCCGAAGGAAAATCGCACCTCCGCTCTACGCCTCTGCAGTATAGGGGAATCACATCTCCACTGGAGCGGCTTCGATGGGACAGCTTGGAGAAAAATCGAGGGGCTGGAGAGAAATCGATCTCCTCTTACCTAGATGGCTTCAATCTCGCGAGAGAAGGGTGAGAGAGGTGAGAGATCCGGTGGGGACGAGATTGATCGAGGGGATGGAGGTAATACGCTCTAACGTAACGCGGAAAGTAGGGTTCGAAGGGCACTCGCGAATAATGAAGGAATGACGTGAAATGGCGTTCAACGATATGAAATCGCTGAGAGCTACGTGTGAAACAAACACAAGGGAGACGTTTTCAAAACGCCCACCGCACCAATAAGCTTGCCCCAAACGGGGCCTAAGATTAGAAAATCTTGAAAATGTGATCGAATAAAGATTGAAACAATTTGCTAATAAAATTTAAAGGTAGAAAAAACTAAGCATACATAATGTAGAGAAAAAAGGAAGATAACTCTATTGATACAATATTTCATTCATCAATAATTTACCCAATTACAAGTCATGGGCCTAAATTTATAGAAATAGGGAAAATAAGGATAAGATCAACCATTTGAAATCAAATATAATCCTATCAAAAATCAAATCAAACATAATATTAGCCAAAAAAAAAGATGATTGAACCCAATAAAAGAATCAAATGAAAAAGAAGACAAATTAGCGCATAAAAACCATTAATAAGCATCTGATGATAATAAATCAGTTAATTACTTATCTTAGCTTAGCTTAGCTTATTTGGCTTAGATAACTTAAACCCTAACAAACTGAATTTTGTAGCAATTTTGCACAACTTAAATTATTTGCAGATTCACAAATAATTTCACTCAAAATTAGATAATTTAAGTTTTGAAGTTCTCTAGCATATTAAGTATTCACAACAAAGCGAAGAGAATATGGTTCAACCATTACATTTAGGGTGCGTTTGGGGCAACATATTTGCTGCGGCGCGGTGGGAAAATGCTATTACGGCAGTTTGGATTTTGTGGTGTGGCGGCTTATTAGGATAATCTTATCCCAAACGCGGGCCACTCTTCGACCCTGCGGTCCGCATTTATTTCGCAACATATACCCTGGCTGGCCTCTCTCGTGTGCCTTGCAGTTCAAAACCTCTCTCGTGTGCCCTGCTCTTCTCTCGCGTCTCTGCCCTAGCTCCCTTCTCCTCTCTTGCTTCTCCAATCTTCGGCTCAGGTGGCACGGATTTCCCTTATTCTTCTCTCTCGCTTCTCTCCGATGTATGGCTCTTTTGTATCCTTTGCTCCCTGTCCTCTTACGGTATCCTCTACCCTATAGACTTGTGGTTATATTGCATGCTCCTTTCGGTTTGAGGTTTGCCTTGTGTGACTTGATCTTTACGACTTATGGGTTTGCTCAATGTTGGAAGGATGCAATTTGAGGTTCATTGCACTGTGTGGCTTTTTTGTTTGTGATTATTTGCTCTTTTTGGTTTCTGATTCCCTATATATTTGGGGTCTTTGGCTTGCTTATTGAGGTTTATAGCCTCTGGAAGGAATGCTATAAATGAGTTGGTTCAATGGCTTGTTCTTTGCTGTTTATAGCTCTTTGTTCTATTTGATTACTGGTTTAAAGGGGTTAGACTTGGAATTTCCTTTTTGCTGCGACATTTGAAGGTTGGATTGCTCATTTTGTTCTATGGTTTGTTGGTCCTTATGGGTTGCCCTGTTGCAATTGCTTCTCCAATTTTGGTTGTGGGTTGCCCTGTTGCATTTGCTATTCTATGGTATGTTGGTCTTTGGTCTTTGTTAGTTGCCCTCTAGAAAGTTGGCTTTGGTGGGTTGCTCTATTTCTCGGATGTAGTGTTGGTCTGTTGGTTGTAGCTTGTTGGTGATATTGAATTTATTTTTTTTCGTGACATTTGGTGGTATGTGTGGTGCTGGTGCGTGTAGATGAGAGTGGTAGTGGTGGTGACGCCTTGTTGATGTGGTGGTGGTGGTGTGTTGTGTTGGTGGTGATGGTTGTGATAGTGTTGTCGCGGTGTTGGTTGTGTGCGTATATAGGAGTGTCGTCGGGTGGTGTGTTAATGGTGCAGTGGTGGTAGCTTATTGGTGTGATGGAGGTAGCTTGTTGGTGTCGTGGTGGTAGCTTGTTGGTGTGGTGGAGGTGATGTGGTTGAGGTGGTGTGTTGGGTTGGCGGTGGTCGTTGTGGTAGTGGTGTTGTGGTAGTGCTGGTGTGTGTAGATGAGAGTGGTGGCGGTGGTGTGTTGATGGTGTAATGGTGGTGGTGTGTTGATGGTGAGTTGGGTTGGTGGTGGTAGTGTTGCTATGGTTGTCTTGGTGTGTGTATATGGGAGTGGTGGTGGTGGTGTGTTGTTGGTGTGGTGATGGTGGTGTGTTGTTGGTGTGGTGATGGGATAAAGAACTCAGGCTAATATTTTGTGATCTCTGCTTTAAAGGGGTGGACTTGAGAAATAGGTCAACCATCTATTTTAATAAAGAAGGCTGGCATAATATAATAAAAAAATTCAAGGAAAGCACAAGAAGATAATATGATAAATTGCAACTGAAAAACAAGTGGGACCAGTTAAAAAATAACTGAAAAAATATGAAAATAATTGAAGAGTGGATCCAAAAGCTTGAGTTGGGATCCGAGGACTAGAGCAGAGAGCTGTAACTTTTTTAGGTCGGCAAATCAGTTCGAAGATTCCACCGCCGATAGTGACCAGGTGTGGAGAGTTCCATTAGAGGAGGGATTATCTCTTGATATTAATCAACTGCACTTTAAAAACAATATTATGATAATATTAATTGTTATTGTAATGGACTTTTTAAATTTTGATTGTTGTGTTAATAAGTATTTTGTGAGGTCCCAATTTATTTTGTAACATTCAAACTGAATATTTGTTTTCAGTACGAAATGTGCATACAGGACTGATTCTATTACAAAGAACAATATATAGTAGGAGCAGAAATGTCATTTGTTGTGAACAACTACAACACAGTTGTTGCATAACTGCGCAAAACAAACAGACAAAACTTCCCTGCAGCAGCTTTTAATCAGAAAATGCATTTTACAACTTAGCAGAAAGATATTAATTCCTTACCCCTCTGCACTCCCTTGACAAGTTTTTTATCTCTTCTATAACTTTTGACAGGCAACGTAACCAATTTAGAAGCGCCAGCGGCAACAGAAACCAATGACCTAACAGGAGCGAGACCTTTCAATAATTTGTGAACCTGAAAATGAGCCGTGAAAAATAGTGAAATTGAGAGTTGAGCCTGAGATTAAGTTGGTAAAAGCCAAAAAAAAGAAACATTTACATATATAGCATGCAATTCTAATGTATTTATATATCTCACACCTAACCTTTCATATTTACGCACAGAAGACTCAAATCTTCAATATCACATCAAAAATAAAACTAATATCACTTTTTATAAAGTGAAATACATATTTTCATGCATAGGTTTAAAGCACCAAAAGTACTATGTATGTAAATATGAAAGTTTACAAGTGAGATAAATAAATACATAGCAATTTTGTTCTAAGTAAGTACAATTCCCCAAAAAATAAAAAAATAAAAATAAAAAATAAAGATCAAAACCTGATTGTGAGAAATATCTTCCAACCACTGCCCAACTACTGTCTCACACAGACTCGCCCAGCCATAAACTCCAACAGCACACACTTGTTTCAGCTGCAAATCTATCCCCTGCAATATAATGTTGACAAATAACCACTTCAATCTCCATCATGTCTATGAAACAAGCAGCGAGAAGACTCGACTGCTACAATTATAAAAACATAAATTTGGCATAAAAAGGATGTTCCAATAATGACAATTGATTACATCTGCGAGCACTATAATGAGACACCAAATTAAAAAAAAAAAAAAAAAAAAAAACTTTCTTGTGAAAAAAAGAGCATATTAATTTATAATTCTACAAGAAAAATTGCAGTTTCTTAGGCACAAATAACATAGAATGCAACAAGATAACATTGAAAAAATGGAATAATGAATTCATACAAGATTATTTAAAAAAGTTAAGATAATTTCTTCTTTCATTATCCATTTCTCGATAATAAACTGCAGGATTGAAGCCAACTCCTTGTTCCAGTTTCAACACAGTAGTGGCTAATGCCCAGACAAAGTATTTGTTCATATTCTTAATTTAATAGAACAAGAGCAGACCTTTAATCGTGTAAGAATATGGCTCATCAGAAACTCAACAGAGCATATCAAATAATAAAAATGCGTTCTTTAAATCTTCAAGATACTTTCACTGTATTTGAATTATCACAGAAATCACTATTTTGTTATGGGAACATTTACATGCATACCACCCAATTCCTATATATTTATACATCTAATACTTGAACGTTATTTTTTACATTTATACTACTCAGATCTTTCATATTACATCAAAAATATCACCAGTTTAACTTTTAAAAAGTTAAATACCCCATTTCATGCATAGGTAAGGTGGTGTGTATGTAAAACTTGAAGTTTAGGTGTTAGATATGTAAATGAATAGAAATTGAGTGGAATGTATGTAAATCTTCCATTATTATATTATCTGGCTCAAGATTTCAGATCCAGATACTCAAATAATATGAAGTCATTATTAATATTCTAGATTCACAACAGAAGAACCGCTGGTATTACAAAATAAGCACTATTATCTATACTTCGGAAGAAGATGGATCCATCAAAAGGATTTACTTGTTAATAAATGCAATTGGTTCTTCCACATGATAGCAAATGAATTGTACTCTCAAGACTCGTCAACTTTGCAAACATGTGATTTCAATCCCTTAACGTGCGGGTGTCAACTAGCTTAACAGATAAAGACCTTTTAAGTTATCAAGGTCCTCAAATAGAAGCCTTATTAAATAAACGCTTCAGCACTAAACTTTCCCAAAAAAATGATTGCACTGCCTCCATGCCATGACGCATAGATCATGTAATAATGTCGTGATTAGTAGCATCATTTATTTACCATTAACTTCAATACATAGCTTATGTATGAACATCCATTCAAAACAAATAATGATTACAAGCTAGAGGAGTCCTGGGAGGACTTGCCCAATCAGAGGTCAACGAACCTATCCACCAAGCTCAAGGTAGACTCATAGACACATCCGCTAAGCTCACGAGGAGCTTGCACATGAGCTACTCAGGGACTCGCCGGACTGACTTAACAGATGTTACTAGCAGGGCCAACAACTTCCCAAGCCCGTCCTAATCTTTACTTAAGCTACACATCTCGTGTATTTTGTATTTTTTTTTTTTTTATAATATGTATAGCCCATTTGGTGGTTTTTTCTAGAGTGGTTGAAATCCCAGAACCCCCACCTATAAATCGGGAATCTCAGGAAGAGCAAAATGTGCATATTGCATTTCCCACTACTCTCCACTATTCTGTATTTCCCCTTATCATTTCCTTTGTGTAAGTAAAGTTCTGGTATAACCAATGAACAAAGTATGATCCAACACAAATAGGTCATAGAATGATAGAAGAATGTTCTTAGTAGCATCATTAAGTTATCACTAGCTTTAGAATATGGTCAACTTCAATCCATCTATCACATATTCCCTGCAACTTCATGACACTAGAAAGTTAAAAAACAAATAACTACTGCCCGTACGTATATTATTAGTTCAACTTACTAAAGTTTACAAATAATTATGACAAAATTGGACAAATTTCTTGATAATGGTGATCATAGCCAGAGAGAGAGAGATCGGAGAGGGGGGAAATTTCAAAGTTTCACATCAATCCCACTAGAGCCCAAAACTTCAAGAACAAACAAATTGAAACTTTGCCAAGATTAACAATCAGGCGAATGGTATTTAACAATGAATGATGGGGCCCTTCATAAAGACAATTCCTTATAATAGCTTTATAAAGAAAAAATATATATATCAGTTTAAGGTCTGTGGGCACTTAGGCGTTGTTTGGTTCACAGAAAGTTGAGTTATTGATGGATGATGCAGAATGAATAGCAAAAGTTGGAGAAGTCCAGTACAGGAGAAGACCCAGAAAGATAAAAAGAAGAAAAAAAAAAAAGATTAAATGCCTCAAAAGAAGGGCGGCAAAGACAAAACAACAAATAGAATGACTAAGAGGGAAAATTCCCATGTATATTAGGGGAGGCCACAATAAATTCAAATCTCAATTCATCATAATAATTATCCTAAACACAAGATAAAAACTCTTATATAAACTCAAGGCATAAAATGCTTGCATAAAACACATTACGATTAACACTGAAGAAAATAAAAGCCTTGTTATATACGAAAAAAAATTTAAAACACTTTTAGCAACTCTGGACATATACATGACAATAAAATTATGCTGAATCGGTTGTGTAAACTTCGTTGCTATTGAAAGTTGGTGAAAAGCACCAATTACTGTTTGTTAGACTTAATGTTAATGCTTGTTTGTTATGTTAAAACAAACAAGTAAAATGCTTTTACATTAATATGCCAGCTTCTAAAACACAAAATAAATCAACAAGTCACTGAAGATTTCACTAGATCAAACAGTAAAACTAGAAATTTCTGCAGTCTTATAGTTATCAGATAGCTAATTTGCAATTTTGCAAACAATATGGCAAGCAAATATTTTAATGACGGTGCTAGTAAAGAGAGACAATAACAATAAAATAAACTAAAAATAACATGTTACCTTCCAGGGAACAAGGTTCAGAAGTTCAACATAGTTTCCACTTCTAAGTGATGTGAGATCCATGTGACGAGGAACATAGTCAACACACACAACCAGAGGCTTGACATCACATTTCTGAATCAAGGAAGTAGAGAATCAGTCTAAAATCAAATATTTCCTCCAAAGACAAGATAGTTATAAAAGCATAAGTGCCTAAAATATTATGTTCCATAGCTTTGGAAAGAGCAAAAAATATCAAAATTATTACAAATCATGATATTTTCCATCAAAATATGTAGAACCAGGTACGTGCACACAAAAAAAAGGAACTGAAAACTGAAAAGCTGAAAAAAAATTAAGCACCGTCAAGGCATACTTTTGATTAAATAGAATGCATTTAACATGCTATATTTTACATTTGGCCAACTTTAAAAATTAAGCAATAGATTTGTCAGAGAGTGCAACTAACACAATCTAACTATTGAAACACAATCATTCATCAAATCTAATAATAACTAAACAAGAACTAGCAAACTAAATGATTAGTACCAAAATTTTAATTTTGTTAACAACAAAAAGGCTCAGATGCTTTTCTCTTCATTAAAAATAGGGAAGAATGAGAAACATCCAGTAGACAAATCCAAGTAATATTTCGCCATTCAACAATGTTTCATATGGATATCAAAGCTTTTTTTGTTTTAAAGGACCTATATGGAACAGCAAGTGATGTTCATATGAAAAAATTTGGAAGAAAAAAATTTAAAAAAAAACCTCAGACCAAAAGACCGAAGAAACTACCCAGCTACGGGGACCGAAATGTTTACCTGAAAAAAGGGAAGTAATGCTTCCTCAACAATTGGCAGATTTCTATAGGCTTTACTCATTTTCTCGTCCATACATGACATATCTACATCCTTAGATATAGCTGGAGACTCTTCAACAGATAATCCATTGCGAAAGAAACTAATGAGAAAATTTATCTGGCTTTGATCAAGATGCAACCGTATCGGAAGAAGCTCAAGATATAGCCTGCCCAAAGTTAACATTAGCTACAAGCAAAAAATAAATTTTACAACATAAACGGATGTATACTAGACATGCTAGAGATTAATTGTGGCATGGGATAGCAGAGCAAAAGTTCTATATGAAAGACTGAGTACGTTAAAGGCGTTCGCAGAAAAGTGGATTGGATTTAGTTATTTCTCAAGCAGACATTCAGAAATGGTTGATGAGAGCGCAAATGCCATAGATGACAAATCATTTATGTTGGTAAATATGTTCATTCTTTATCTTGGTAAATATTTTGCCATCTTATGTATGCTCATCGTTTGGAAAGTGAATGCAATACATACAGGTGAATTTAAAAAAAACAAGATAAAATAGCATACATCACCAAAATTATGTTACAGATCACCTCAAATGAAGTAGTAGTTTAGCAATAGTAGATATTCTACTAAAATATTAATTAGTATTGCTGAAATTTTATCTAAGCGTACTTTGCCATCAAAGCACATAGCAAATTACCAAATTAAATGACTTAAAAACAATCAAACGTTTGTCAGAAAAACCTTAATTTGAAAATAATAGCTTGTCTGTAGATCCAATGATGCAAAAGTTTGAAGCAGCATGGTAAAAAGGGCCTTCTTCGCCATAGAAGAGAAAGAAGTTCAAGCTCTAACTAAGCTATGTGATAAGTTCATTAAGCATCAAATTTTACAATTTCACTTGTAAGTAAAAGTAGAAGCACAGAACTTTTTATAGAAAAAAACTTCCAATACATTAGGCTACAGCATACAAGTCCTCTACAACTAAGTTTTAGGTAAGGATCCTGCTTTGAAGTACTAGAACGCAAGCTTCTAAGAAATATTACCAGGTTTACAAGAAGAGAAGTCTGGATTACCAAGCAACAAAAGGGAAGAAGGCATTAAACAAAAATTTTGATATAGCTTTTGCCATAACAAAGGATGTACATTAACAAACAATTATAGGATAAGAAAGGCATAAAACATAAATTTTGATGTGGCTATTGTAATAACAAATAATATATTAACAAATAAGTTATGCCTTTTAAAAGTTACCTGTAATCTTCAAGAGGTGTCATTGGATTAGGCCTCACCGTTTCCAAATCTAACTTAAATGCTTTAGCATAGGATTCTCTTGGATGATCTTTGGAATTATAATGCCCGATCACCTAAAAAGGAAGACAATTAAATTCTTCAACAATTTTCCAAGGAGAAAGAGGTTAAATGGTCCTCCGACTCTTTATAGCGGGCTATTTTATTCCTATAGTCTATAAAAGTGTCAATTTAGTCCCCATAATTTTTTAAGAGGGGCTTAAATAATCAGTAAAGGGGACTATTTTAGCCCATATTTAAAGATCTATGGACAGAATTGTAAATGAACCAACGCACTTGAACTCAAACTCGGCTCGACTCATAATCGACCTATTTGTTCAAATTAGTAGATAAGCAAGTTCTAACATTTTTTTTAAACCTTGAATGCTAAATGAACCAAATTTGAAAAAAGTCTAACTCGCTTGTTAATATTCATAAACAGGCTCATTTGTTCTTCAACAAGTAATTTGTTAAATGCTCTATACTTATATGATATTTTATTTAAATAAATTTGATTAATTATAATTTATTTAATTATATATTTAATAATAATATATTATAATTTAATATCAACATACATATAAATTTAATCTATTTTTTATTTAAATAAACTAACCTTTTAATAAATATTTATATTATTTGATTGCAAATGGCCTACGTACAACTTATATGATATTTTATTTATTTAGTATAAACTAGTGACATGTTAATTTAAAATTTATTCAGTTAATTATTTATTTATATTTGTAAAATCATTAATTAATATATTCATATAAAAAATCAAATATTCATTCGAGTTTTTAACTTGATTACTAATTTTATATGAAACATTAAGTACAAATCCAGTTCTAATATTATATGAAAAATTAAACATTCATCCTAATTTTTAGATTGATCAATTAATATAAATATATATATATATATATATATATATAAGCCAAATATAAATCAAGTGTGATCATTAAAAAATTTAAGCGAGCTAGGTATGAACATAGATGTGAAAGCTTGGATCAAGCTCAAATTGAACATGAACAACTTATCATTCAACCAAGCCAAGTCCAATCCATGACATACTCGATTCAACTCGGTTGAATTATAACCCTATCTATGAACTAATTAGCACTTTTATTGAATATGGGACTAAAATGACCTCATATAAATAGTCAAGAGACTATTTTGACATTTTTCTCATTTTCTATTCAGCATACAGTCAGGTAAGCATCTAAGGTTGTTCCCAGTATTGAAAAATCTTACCATTTTCCATGGAGCATTTGCACTTTTGTCATAGAGATTTAAGTCTTGGGCATCGATGGAAAGTTTTGATACATTGATCTCACCTTCAGGAAATATTGCATATAGAGTATTCAACCCTGACAAAATAAGTTCCAAGGAAATACCTCCATCCTTTCCAGTTGAACTTTTCATTTGTTTAGACCAATCTGACCCCGCAAACATACTCCATCTAACATCTATATTCTTAAAAAGCACTTTCCCTTTTTCTCTGCAATGAGCAGAAGCATCTGAATCAACGGGCACAAACTTAGTTTTCTCATAATGTTGATCGGAATCAAGTGGTACAGAATTTGGAACATGGTTATCTACTATCACTGGATAACTATCAATATACCATTCAACCTTCCCACAATCAAGATCAGCACGAGCAGGCAAATCATATGTCCATCTCTGACCCTCTTGAGGTGGACTACCTTTTGCTGTCAGAGATGGCTCCATCGTCTCCGGAAAATAGTAGCTTTCAATTAGTGGGGGAAGTAATTCTTCCCTTTCAGACATTATTTCGATATTATCCAATCCCGAGTTACTTGTTGAACAACAGTCTTCCGTCCCATTGTTACAAGCTGACATCTTCACAGAGGAGAGAGCATCAACAAAAGGAAAGCTTGAGTTTGGATTAATAATATCAACTGTATCCTGACCAATCACATTAGGATTAGGAGGATTATCGGACTGGAAAGCATTCTCAATAATCCCATCCAACAGCCCAATATTTTGAGAGTTGTCATCACTTCGAGAAAGCTCTTTCCCAGAATCCGAACTAAGAGAAGAATGAGAGTTATCCAAAGCATCATCAGACCCATTTGTTTTAAGACTTTGTTGGACACTATTCCACCTAGATTGCAGGTGTGCAAGAGCATCTTCCACATCAGGCGCATAAAGCTGCTGCAATTGAGCAATCAATCGAAACAGTCCATGAGTCGTATCATGGCAAGTATGGAAATTGACATGCGAGTCGGAGCACTTAACTTCCCACCTTAAGCTATAAATCTTCACAACAGCCACTAAAAGGCAAGCCGAAGCAACTTTGGCATAACCCATCTTTTGCAGATAATTAACATCGTAACTCCCATAGTCGTTGTTCAAGCCTGAAGACTGACAAATAAGAAGTCCCAAATCCCGTAACTGAATATTGTACTCGCTACTTGCAGAGTTTGATTTGGCATGATTAGATATGCTGAATGAAGAAGCAGCTAGAAGGCTGCCCACAAATTGTTCAGTATCATCACATCCAACATATGCATCATCATGTTTAAAGTGAGGCTCGTAACATAGAGCTACATCCACTAAATCAAGGAAAAAAGATGCCTCGTAAGTTTTACAATTTGAAGAAAGCTTTGATTGGTTTACATCACTGCTCGATGATTCTTTTTCGAAAGGCGAGCTAAAGAAGGAACATATATGGCCGATCCAATCTAGACGGCCACCAGGTGCTATGATTGTACCGCAATGAATGAGAATGGATGTATGACTACGAGATAAATGAGGATTACTTAGGTATGTAATTGTAGTTCCAGCAGAGCCGAAAGACAGCACATTAGAACCATCACCACCTCCACGCCTGCTAACAGAGTTCGTGCAAGATATTAAGAGAACATCATGGGTTGCTGAAGAAGTACAGTCATTAACATTGAATATGGAACCACATAATCGTCCCTCTCCATGGATGAGCCTAAAAAAGTTTGTGCCGCTAATGTCACCAATATTCGAAACAGACATTATCTCAAACTTCTCAACTATGAGCCTAAAACCATTCCATGAACCAATTAGCTCCTTTTGAACCGAAAGACTGCAGTCAGGTACCTCATCAAATACAATGTGTAGATCCAATATATCACAATCCATGATAATAGTAGCTTGAGATGAATCATGTTTATATAGAATCCGCTCCTCCTCAGAGACACCAAATTTAGAAGAACCTCCACTAGACAAGCCCTGCATGACAATATCTAAAAGGCAACTCAATCTTTCATAATCATGGCTGTGGAGATTGAGCTGAATGGTAGCAAAGCCTAGACAAAGCAGAAATCCGGAGCTAAGAATCAACTCCTGGCGAATATCGGAACACATCTCCTCAATGTCCTCAACTGCTGCCACAGAATAAAATTCACAATCTTTTCCGGCGACTTTATTCCTACTTCTTCGGTCATGCGTAGATGCCATTCTCCAAGCTCTGCTTGTCATCCAAGGACCAGTTACAGGACCATTCTGCCAAACTATACTAATTCCAGAGAGTTTATCGCCTGTTCTGTTGGTTAATGAAAGAATTTTCACAACAGAGACTTCTTTTAATTTGAATGGACTGGACTGGTCAGCAATAGCATCTTTGGGTATAGAATTAGTGAAGTACATGTCGAGGGTCCCTACATCAAAATGCAAAGAAAGGGTTGGGGTTGAAGAACTACCATTTGATGCGCCAAGTTGTTTTAGTGGACGGGGAGAAACCTCTGAAACTTCTTCAGTAATAAGCGGTGGGAAATGCTCAAGGATAATGAACTTATCCATGAGATATAAATGCCTAAAATCTTCCATGTTTTGCAGAGGAAAGCAAATGATGATCCTTGTGCGGGCAAAGACAAAATTTCCTTGCACGTTATCTGCTCTAGGAACAGTCTTTATGGAAGAATCACTACGTTTTACATCATGAGGCGAGAATTTTATATCACGAGATGAGTTTTCAACTACGAAATCTCTGTTATCAACACTTCTCTTAAAACAGGTTTCAACCATTCTGAAGAGGTTTAGTAACGAGTCTATCAAATGAAAGTGGAGCCACAGAACACACGGTGGAAAATTCAAAGAGAAAGAAGTTGAAGACACTGAACTTCCACTTGGATCTGCCACACTAACAACACAATGGAAGCTAAAATCACCTGAAGTTTCCATGAGTCCAACCTTAATCAACCCCTGCTGAGAGGAAGAATTTTCACTGATATTCTCAATATTGCGCTCAATAGTTGTTTCTAAATCATACTCCTGGATAAAAACAGGAAAGGGAGGAAGAGCATCCAGAACCTTTTGTTTCAGACTTCTATTTATAAGCATCTGATCAAACAGGTCAATGTTATCAAAAAAGCCAAACATCCTGACATGATTTTTTTGATAGTACTCGTCGATTTTGACATCTTTGACTGATATTTTACAATCTTTCTTTCGTGAGCCAATCTGTTTGCTTTCACAGAGAAACTAAATTAGTTGAGGAAAACATGATGATGATTTGAGAATAAATTAATGCCAATAAAGAATCATACTGGATGATGAAATTATTGAAATCTAAATAATAATGCAGAGAGAAAAGCGTCAAAATATTCCATCAACTCTTTGTAGTGAGTTATTTTAGTCCTGGAGTACATAAAATTATCAATTTAGCCCCCAAACTCTTTTAAGATTGGCTGAAATAGCCCCACGGAGGACTATTTCAGCTCCAGTTTAAGAGTCTGGGATTAATTTGGCACTTTTATAGACTTCAGGACTAAAATGGCTACATGTAAACAGTTAGGGGACTATGTTGGCACTTTACCCATAATCCAGACATCATGTGGGAAAATGCTACTACAGTGTTAAATTTTAACCTGAAAAGTAATAACTACATCTTGACTGTTTGCTTTGAGATGGTCTATCTTTAGACCAGTCAAATTAGGTTCAGCCATAGAAGAAAAACAGCTTGCATAGGAGTCAAGGCTTTGCCCACTTGATAAGGAATTTTGAGTACAACTTTTTAGAGGTCTCAAATGATCTAGTGGGCATGACTTGTTGTCATCCCTGTCACTGCCAAAAAACTGATCGGAAACATTCCCTTCCTTGTCATGGAAATAAAGGAAAAGAGAGACTCCTGCAACAGTTGCTCTTAAACTGGTCTCAACATGTTGCTCTGCACATATAGCAATGAAAACAGTGATAAGATACTTATCAAGAAAATCATAAATTAAAGAGGGAGAAACATAAAAAAAGGGAGAAAAAAATATGCCAATTAATATGCAATTTATCAAAACTGCTAAAATTTTTTCAGGTTTTTCACACAGTGATAGGAAACTTGTTTAGAAAATCATAAATAAAGATTGTGAAACAACTAGGGTGCCTCATTGTGACTGGAGTTCACACATTTTAATCTAAAACCTTTACTAAATAGGTGTGAGGTTGTAGAGATCTCAAACCCTCTGACGCTGGCGCTAGGGCAACACCCGATACAAGCGCTTTGTTTCCACGGGTGTGTGACATGTAAATACATAAGAATTGTGTGCCATGTATGTTAATGCCACAAGAAATAATTACTGCATTTAGTTAGTCATCCATGACAAAGTTGCCACCCATTCAATATTAAGTTCGTATGAACTAAGTTGGTACAAAACCTTCATCAAACATTTTTCTAATTCAAAGATTGAAAATTTCAAATAAATTTAAATATAACTCAAAGCATAAAACAATATTTTTGTGCAAAATATAAAATAGCACATCATGCATGACTGCAGAAATTGTCATATTTTGCAGATGAAAATATATGCCTCACAAAAATCCATCTTCAAGCAAAATACCTGGAAGCCTTTGACCGGAACCAGAAGCAAGGTTAGAAGCAACGTTAATTGCACTGAAAACTGAATAAGTCCAGTTCCATAGCCCACTATTTGCAGAATTTGCCTGAGAGCTCCGCAACCCATCAAAGCATTCAAAAAACTCATCTATGCTGCAGGGCAGATTGATCAATTAGTACCCCAGTAGGTAATAATCACCTATGAAAGAATAAAAATTTTGGGCATTTACATATATGCCACACAATTCTTATATATTTACATATCTAGCACCTAAACTTCATATTTACTTGCATACCCCTCAAATCTTCAACATCACATAAAAATACCAGTCACTATATTTTTAAAAGTGAAATCATACATAAATTTATGACACCAAAGTGTTATGAGTGTAAATATTAAACATTGGGTGTTAGATATGCAAATATATAAGAATTGTGTGGTATGTATGTAAATTTCCCTAGACATTTATCTAAGAGGTGTGTTACTAACACAGGGTGTCTGATAGGCACAGAGTGTCCCAAGGATGCCTAGATCAAACCGGTCCAAGAAGGGAGTGCCACCCAAGGGGAGTGGGGTCCACTTCTAGTTATTGAGGTTCATATATCTATTTTTTTTGGTGTCTAAATTAGTTTTTGACTGTGTTTGTTTCGAGAGAGCTGTTAGCGTTTCTCTTTTCCTTTCTAGGGTTGTAGTCAAAGGTTCTGAGTGGTGCTCCGACTGTATCTCGTTCCCGATGTAAAGTTTACCATTCGATGTCCTTCGCCGTCCCTTTCCCGCATGGGGTTATTTCACCTCACCACTCCACTTTGGCTGCCATCACCTAGATCCACCCCTACCTTGCTATTTCTGCTTGCCAAGCTGTTGTTTTCTGCAACCCTCTGCCCTTCAGCACCGACCCAACCATCTCCGACAACCCACACCTTCCTCCTTGCTACTGTCACCCAGAACCATCCCCTACCGCTAATGTCACTATTGTTGACCTATTGTTCGGAGCCTGGAAAACAGCCTGTCAACCGCCTCTTTCCACCACCCCGCTACCTTCCAAATCCCTAGTCTGCACCACCTCCACCCTACATCTAGGGTTGTCTCTAAGATTGTGAATCGCTCGAAAATTAGATTAAATTTTAGCTCGAATTGGATCGTTCGAACCATTCAAGCCTAGCTACGAGCCAAATTAAATGATCCAATCTACTTCAATCTGTTCTCGGTTCGGATCGAGATCGAAATAAATTCTTATATATTTACATGTATAACACCTAAATTTTTAGTTTTACATGCATAACGCATTGCCAGCTCAGTTAGTGGGCTCCATTTTGCTTGAGCGGAGTGGTAGGGGTTTGAATCCCCTCTTTTCCCCAAAAAAAAAAAAAAAAAAAAATTTGTGGGCTTGAGCTAGCTCAAAAATTGGATAGATTCGCACTGGATCAGATCGAAATTTATTGGATCAATCCACGATCTGATTTCAAGCCAACCCTAGATCGGTTCAAGATTGGATCATTCACAATTTCACACCCCTACCTAGATCCGCCCTAGTTTAGTTTTGTGTGTTGCTTTTGTTGCCATTTCAAAGTTCCAGTTGTTTTATTATAATTTCATATTTAAATTCAGCAATAATTGTGTTTTCCATTGGCATTTGGTTAAACCACGGTATCATTTAGATCATGGATAGGCCAACACTAGTTCCATCCTAGGATAACCTAAACCAACCAAACCATAGCCAAATCTTGACCTATCCGTACCTAAAACATTTTCCCCTGCCTTAAATAAGCCCCGTACACCCTCTTTCACTTCCCAAACCTAAACACTAATCATGCTACGAAGAAGACAAGTGTTGGAAGTCGATCACGAACTTACAATGGAAGACATGCAATGGGAAATCAACCGACTTCAGCAAAGGCTTGCTGAAATTGTGGAAGGGACTCATGGAAAGACCATCCTCGATCGGGATAGTGAGATTCAAAGAGAAGAGAAGAAGGAAAATTTGAATCCCTTTCGTAGGGATGATTCCAGTGAATAGGAGGATAGGTCAAGATGCTTTGGGAAACAGTATCAGAAGAGGAGCCTGGGGGATGGAGTGACTTTTGAAGGATATGAAGATATGTTAATAAAGGTAGACTTATCGCATTTTGAGAGGAGAATGAATTCTGATGACTTCATTAAAAGGTTGCAGACTGTTAAGAGAATTAGCGAAGCTTGTTATCATAAAGTTGAAGAATGAATTTTTTGTGGCGGAAGAATCTGAAGAGAGTGTGACAGAGAGAAGTTAGGTACAAGATTACTACTAGGGAGAAGATGAAGAAGAAGATGCGGAGAAAGTATCTACCCATATGCTATCATCAGGACATGTTATTGAAGCTCCACCACCTACAATAGAGACAGTCATCGGTGACGGAGTTCGCAGTAGAGATTGAGCAACTCATGTTAAAATATGTGCTGACAAAGTTAGAGGAGCACACTATAGCCAGATATTTGAAATGACTAAAGCAATCCATCAGCAATGTTATTTAGCTATAGCTTTATTGGTCGTTGACTGATTTTCAAACCTTAACACTGAAGGTGAAAAGATGGCAAAACCAAAGCAAGCATCCAACTTTATTCAGACAGCCACCCACAGTTGAAGGTATTAGCAAAAGCACGCACGGGGAGTTGTGAAGACTGGTTAGAGGAATGACAAAGTTGATCAGAGCGAGAAATTTGAGAAGAGCAGCACATCCAACAAAATTCCAGCCAAAAAATGTTTCATTTATCATGAATATGGACAAATCGCCTCCAGTTGCCCTACTAGCAGAGTTGTTTCCTTAATCGAGCGAGGTGCGATAGAGAATGAGCGAGGAGAAGGCAACAAATAATAGGTTGAGGATTACTAGCTCCATGGAGATGAAAGTGAGATGCTAGTTGTGAAGAGAGCTCTGCAGAATGAACCGAGGAAGGATTCCTCATGGTTGACACGACATCTTTCGCACCAGGTATACTATTAGAGGGAATGTATGCAACCTTATTATTGATGGAGAGAGCTGTAAAAATATGCTCTCTACTTTTATGGTGAAGAAGCTGGACTTGGCTACTCAAAAACATTCTCAACCCTATTCTTTGAACTGGTTGAAGAAGGGGAATGTGACACACGTAGATCAGCATTTTTGGTAGAGTTCTCTATTGTGGACCAACTATAGGATAATGTGTGGTGTGACGTTGTACCCAAGGATGTTTGTCGCATCCTGTTAGAGAGACTGTGGTAGTTTGATCGCAGAAATCGGCATGATGGGTTCAAGAACACATGCTAATTCACAAAAGAGAGAAAACACAGTTTTTGTTTTCCATCAGAGAGTCTAGAGGATCTAATACTCACATTGCAGAGACTGTAGTTCCACGTGTCACCTTTCTACAGCTAGTTTAGCAGGCCCCAATAGCGATGGCCTTAGTCATCATAGAAGGGACTGAGAATGAGACTGAGCCGCCAGAGATGATACAGCCACTACTAGCCAACTTTCACAATGTGATGATTGATAGCTAAAAACTCAAACCAGCAAGCATGTATGCCTAATCTGCTATGTAATTCTAACTCCTTGTCTTGTACGTGAGTCTAGGGAAGAAGAATCAGTAGTGGGATCAAATTATAGCCCAATTTGAATTTGCTTATAATAGGTTTGGGAGTCAAGACTATAGGGCATACTCCCTTTGAGATTATGTATAAGTGTAATCCACTCACCCCACATGAGTTGGTACCATTTCTTCTCATTTCAGAAGTTAGTGTGGATACTGAAGCTAGAGTGTGGGAGATTCAGAGGCTTCATGAAGAGGTTTGGAAAAAGATAGCCAAATAGAACCAAAAGTATCAGACACAATCTAATAAAACCAGGAAAAATGTAACTCTTTCAGTGGGGAGATGTAGTGTGGATCAGACTGTAGAAAAAGAGATTTCCTATGGAATCTTTTAGAAAACTTGAACCCATAACAGATGAACCTTTCAGGATCCTTAAGAATATGAATGACAATGGCAACATTATTGACTTTCCAGAAGATTACAGCATTTTTTCTACCTTCAAAATGACAATCTAACCCCATACTATGAGGAGACGGGAGCTTCAACTAATCAGGTTGAAGCTCCCCTAACCCCGGGATCTAACGCGGGGAGTCTGATAGGTGTAGGGCATCCTAGGGACACCTGGACCAAACCGGTCTAAGAAGTATGGGTGTCGGTCGAACCCTCAAAGGCTTTGGAGCGTCGCTCAAGGGGAGTGGAATCCAGGTCTAGTTATCCTATGTCTTATTATTTGTTTTCGTTGGTGTCCAGAGTTAGTTTTTTGCTGTGTTTATTTTGTGATAGCTGTCGAAGTCTACATTTTCCCTTCTAGGGTTATATCCAAGGGATTTGAGCGATGGTTCAACTGCATCTCATTTCCGATGTGTTGTTTATCCTTTTGATGCCCTTTCCCATACGGGCTTCATTCACCTAGTCACTCCACTTTGGTTATCATCACCCATATCCGCCCCTATATTGATGTTCGTGCTTGCCAAACTGCCATCAAACTTGATGCTCCTATTCAAGGACCTTCATGGCCTCAATGTTTACCTAAATCGTAAGTCTGAGATGAACAATTTATCCATTTACTATAAGAAGGATGACAGTGAAATGTTTTAAATTTACCAAAAAACATACTAGAATTTCATTATTCATAATATATGGTGAGTGAAAGGATTTTTTAAGCAAAAGTCTTCATCACTCCGTCATAGAATTTTTTTTGTTGAGGTTCTCGTGATTTGTAAGGAAGTTTCTTAATCAATTATTTTTACAATCAATCAGATAGCGGAGTTTGTATCAAGCTGCGAGATTTTTGGGAACAACTATCAATGGACTATAAGATCTATTAATGTCATTCATCTTAATATAACATTAGAAATGGTTTATATAATACTAATAATGCTAAAAAGGCCCTTCTCACAAGGCTTTTTGAGTAAAAAAAATATAGTAGGCTTTCATCTTCCACTTTTTTCATCACAAACTAATTTGAATAGGTTATCACACAGTTCTAATTAAGTTGAAAACTCTATATTTTAAGCATAGTCAACTCCAACATGATCAAACATTCAAAGTTTTATTATCAAAACTAAGTCTATGCAAAATTAAAAATATGTACCAAGTAAACAAAGTTAGCAATTTGCCATTCACTTGCTTCAAGTGATGTTTGAAGGGCCAAAACATTAAATAATGCTCTCATATTAAACTTTGAGGGATCAGAGAATTTAAAATCCAATGAGCTATAAGAATTTAAGGACTTCACCGATGAAAGCCTCTACCACAATGAGGATGTTCATACATCAATGACAATCTGACACAAATGTATCATATAAGTTGCATTTGTATATCCCCAACAAGTTTTGAAGGTTGAAAATGCACTAGCATCTCCCTAATTTATACAACTTGCAAAGATGACAGACGCAAATAAACTATTGATGGTAGTTACATTAATGTAATCTCAAAAAATAGCTTTGATTAGAATTAATTAGCTATGTTTAAAAAATTAATAAGCTATGGCTAAAATCATCATATTTCCTAAAAACATAAACTTTTTGTGGTTAAAGTCCTCTTATCCAAGTTTCAAAATATTACTCATAATGAATAACCCAATGAGCTTCCTCTCATCAGGGATATTCAGCACACCATCGTTTTTTATGTTGAATACACAGTAGCAGACTTGATAACTTAATGGAATGAAACCCAACGAGCATGCTAAGCTCGAACAACATGCAGGTGGATTAGCATATAAAGATATTGTATAAGAAAGTTTAAATCCATATGATGTCCCAACTATTAATGTCAGAAAAGATAATTTTTAATATATGTATTGATAGTAGAGCATTAAAGAAAATTACAAAAAAATGCATATTCCATATACCTAAATTCGATTGCATAATTATCATGACAGGTGAGTTACTATACTTTTAAAACATTAATTTGTGAAATGGGTACTATTATCAAATCTGAATTAATTCAGATAATGAATACAGAACAAATTTGAATACACCTGATGGGTTATGTGAATGGTTCATTTTGCCTTTTGGATTGTTTAATGTGCCCAATATTTTTATAACTTTGTTCATTGGTAAATTTTTGCTATTAAACTTGAACGACGTTTATTTATAACTTGACCACAATTGAGCATATTGATCATTTTTTATTAAAGAGTGTTCAAGAGAAGTTATACTTTAGCCTAAAAAATGAGCAGTTATGATGTCAAAAGCTATACTTTTTTATAGTGTCTTATCCTTAAAAAAATGAAAGCAATCTTTGATTGGTCAACAACTGTATCTATCATTGATGTTCAATTTTTATGGGTAAGTATCGAAAGCTATAGTTCTTAGTTTCAAGTTAATAACCGGTAAATTCATCTTAAGTTGGGCCGGAAAGTCCTCCCTTAGTATTTTTGGGTGTACACAAGCCTTAAGCTGCATTATTTGCAACCAAAAAAAAAAATTATTTCCAATTTTCAAAAATTAAAATATAAAAAACTTAAAAATAAGTAATAGGCTTAACAAATGGATTTAATGCCTTCAAAGTTAACCTTTCTCCGGACAGGTAAATCTATCATTCAAAATAAACTATGAACTATCTCAAGTTTTATTAATCTTAACATTGATACACATTAATGTGCATAAGTCTAACAGAATACAAGATGAGTATGTGGCATGTACTGATCTTCACTTATCATGATCACAAGGATATGTAATATAGTCCTCATGGCTTCTACTTTTATAAACTGAGATGGATATTTGTATAAGGCTAGCAAGCTTTACATTCTCAAAATCTCTCTTTGGGGTCACTATAAATTTACTGGAGTGTAAGTTCTGCTAGCCCTCATTGAAAAGGATTACTGTGAGGATTGCTTGTCAGTGCCAAGCATGCCAAACTAGAAAAACTAGTACATAATACATTGGCATGCACAATTAATACCATGTCCCATCAACTCCTTGGTTAGAATTTTTCATAATCTTAGATTGGGTGAAGATTGGGTCACCCAATCGTTTACCATGGCGAAAAGTTTAAAACTTGAGAATTGCTTGTTGATTCTTCCCGAGGAGAAATTTCTACAACCATTGCTTCCACATATCCTATCATTCCAATTCTTGCCTTTTAAATGCTAAAAATATTATTTCAAAAAAAATGATAGTTGAGAAGAAATGGTAAGCATACTTTTTTGGTCAAATGTTACATAAATGACCGAATGGAAAATGCAAAAGCTAGCCCCTAAATTCTTTGATAACTAAATCAATCTTAAATCATAGAAAGATAGTTCTTTGCATCCACAGAAGAGTTACCACAGTATAGGTCTTTCTTCTCAACCCCAGAAGAGTTACAGTATAGTCCTTCAAATAGGTGAAATCAATCCACAGAAGTTCAAAATGCCCATAGATTCATAAGAAGTTAAATCAGGCCATCATAAATCTAAATCGTGCCTGTTATACTTCAATTATGTTGACAAGTTTTTATCTTTTCATGGACAAGAATAGTTTAAAATTTGAATGTGGGTTTTGCATAAAATTCGATTTGCATCTAAAAGTGGTCTTATCCTTGTAACCCTTATTAATTCCATGATGTCCAGAATGATAATGATTGATGATTGCATATAAAATTATTTATGGCCAATTAAGTACTCTTAATTGTTTGCATGGATAACTACAGTTTATGTATATAAGGTTTTCTTCTTTGTCCTGCATCAGGTTTGGGCCTGTTGATCGTAGAGATAGATTTGCTATACAATAAGATAACTAGAGATCTAAGTGTTCTTATCAATACTTAATGAAAAAATCATCTCAGGCTAAAAAAATTATCAAGAATTATATTGAATATAAATAATGTACTTATGAGATGGAAGACAAGGACGTACACTAACAAAAAGTTGGAAAAAAGTGTTGTGCTTACACTCTCTCAACATGCACTTATCAACGCAGCCTTGCTATGATAACTTTTCTTAACTTTGGCATAGGAAAAATCATTTCAAGTTAAAATAAATAATCAAAATGTTCAAATGAATATATTAAGTTACTTCTCAGTTGGAATAAAACATGTGTGTTTAAGCATCCTTATAATGCACTTATCAGCCCTGCAACTAGATTGAACAAAACAGTAAATATAAAAACAAAATTATTAAATATATACAAAAAAGTTCTATAAAGGCGCAAATTGCAGAGGCAAAACAGAAAATTCATGAATAACATCTCAACATTATGAGCTAAAAAAATTCTCAGAACGCAGAATGAATTAACGGATGCTGGTATAAAATGATAATTCTAGCAACCAAAAAATAAATTTTCTGTTAAATAATAAAAACCTTGCTCCATAATCTTCTTCCAACTCTTTTTGGTCTTCTTCGAATGATAGTGGCACCCAATCATGAATAACATGTGTTCGAGGAATTAGATCATCAAAAAATGACTCTCCATTGAAATCAAAAGGCAATTCCTCTGAAACTTTTCTGCTGCTTGGATTTGTTACATCAGCACCTAGCATAGTAGAGTTTCTCAAAGAAGAACTGTGAAATCTAGAATTTAAGCAAGAAGAATCCATCATATTAAACTGAGCACAATTTCTTGCAGCTTTGCCTGCATATTCAAGAGATTCCCATACAATAATAATCCACTCGATCGTGTTGGGCTGCAGTCTTAACTCAATGGGATCAAAACAGACAGCAGCATCAACTTCATGAATATCAAGAGATCCATTTTTCCAAGGAATGCTTATGTTCATTCTTCCTGAGATCCCCTCACTTCTACCAGTCAAAATTGCCGTTGTATATCCTAATGGTGAGCTACTTGAACTGCATTCATTGCATAAAGTTTGTAAACTATCCTGAGTACAAGAACTCTTATCCATGTCAGCCATCTTAACTACCTCAATTACCGCGCCTCTAAATTTCACAAAATTTGTTAGTTTAGCCATTCCAAGAAGGCAATCCGACTTAGAAATATGATTTCTGTCAGCATCTTCAGAAAGACAGGTTCCAAATTCTGTTTCCGCAATCCGAAGAACTAATGATTTGTGAACTGGCAATCTATTTTGATCCATCTCCAAACAAGGATCAAAGGCAACTATAAGATTTTTTAACCTTACATGAAAGCTAGTTAGGAGCCATTTCACAATTTTAGCAATTGTCTTTACTCCTTCATGAATATCTAGAGAAACTGAGCCATAACTCTCTCGGCAAATTCCCGGTTCATTCTTGTCTGGGCTATGGCACTCCACTTGCTGTTTATCAGCACTACTTGACTCAGAACAGCTATTAGATGCCTGAATCTTACTTCCCGTGAAAGGAGCAAGCACGAGTTCAAGTTCATCAAGTTCTATCTGACAGTTTTGCAGCTTCCATGGTATTTTAATGGACAGAGAAGCAATTGATCCTTCTTTCAACACAACTGCAGCCCCAGCCAACTAAGGATATGTCGAAAACCATGAGACATCAGGAAGAAAATAAATAAGATTAATAATGGCAAAGCAGGTTGCTATAAAATAAATATAAAGATTTAGGTGTCAGATATGTGAGTGCATTGGAATTCAGTGGTATGTATGTAAAAGACCCTATTTATGATATGAATATCCAGGATTGCAGTATCTTATAGTAGCGGATGTTCTTTGCAAAAACATTTGCAACAACTCTATAGAAGTGCTATTAGACTTAAACGCACAAAGGGAAAAGGCAGCTGCAAGTAGCTGCTTACAGCATTTGCTATTTGAAGAAAACTTCTTTTACCAAGATACTGGCTAGCATAAGAACTGGAAAATATTAAAACACTCAACATGACATCCAAATCCATTACTGACATAAAATCATGGAAACTTGAGCAACATAAACTGAAGCTTCAATAAGGTTTTAAATCTTCTCTGTCAAACCTTCATATATAACATATTCACTCAAAAATATAAGAGAAAAGCACAAGGAAATAGAAACCTGAGGACAAAATCTTAAAGGATTTATATCAAAAAAATTTTATTTAGTTACCATTTTTTAATGGAATGTACAGTAAAGTACTGAGAGGCAAAGGCAACTTCGCTTGCAGATAAAGGCCGTCACAAAAGGTGAATATAATTTAAAAAGGGTAAGTTTCTAGTGTGTACCGCACTTCACATTCTATTTGTCGGTGTCATATGCTGTGGGGTTATCAAAACATGTGACCAACATAATTTATTGGACTTTATATGGTTGGTTTGCTCAACCAACCATTGAAAAAAAAGTGAGAACAACTTTAGCAACTGAAGCTAGCAAAATTGTCCAACAACATTAAGGGCCTGCTTGAGGCGGCGATGCGGTGGCGGTGCGGTACCGCACCGTACTTCTATCTGTTTAGGTAAATTGCATTTTAGCAGCTTTTTCAAAAAGTTACTGCTGAAATATGTGTTTTTCCTCCAATCATGGCAAGGTGTGGTGGTATCTATCTAGTTGCGGTTTGACTTTTTCAATATATATATGTATATGTATATATATACATATACATATATATATATTTAATAGTCACCGCAACTTTTTGAACATCAGATTGTTTTCAGCTGTTTCACAACTACTTTTTGATAAAATGCAGTTGTCCCAAACAAACCCTAAATCATAACTCTTTAGCTTGCCCTCTCTCCTCTCGGTCCATTCATCTCCTGTCACACCCCTTCAAGCACCTACTAATCTCTTTTCATAATCACTTATATCACGTTAACTTCCTAATAGTTCCACTACGCCACATTCTTCCTTTTTTAGTAATTAAGGCATCAAAAGTCCATAGCTTTTACTCCCACTTGCGTAGTCATCATTAAATGGTATCATAGTTAGATTCGTAAATCTGAGGAGCTATTCGTGCTGAGCTTATGGAATTTTTAAAATTTTATGGTTCCAATAGCTTATTGCATCGCCTTCTTCTCCCATGTCTCAGTCTTTTGATTGCCTGCTCCATACAACCTCGGCACATATTCAGGATAAATTCTATGTAACCTTACCCTTAGAAAAGACAATCTAGGATTGAAACTTTGCTAGAGGTTAAAAGTATTTTTCTTTTCAAATAGTTAGTGTACCACGGTTGATATTTTCATCAATGTTGCATCCAAGACACAACTCTATATAATCGAGCAATTATCGATTGGTTTGTATTGAATCAAATCAGGTAATAGATAAACCGTCAGCCAAAAACTTCGCCCTGATAGTGGACTTCATATTTTTGGTTAGAGGCTTCCTACAAGCACAAACCCTTATAGTTAACTATCTCCCTTGTAGAAGAGTGAGAACTATAGATCAAAACTAGTCTGTAAAATCTACAATAGTTTACCACAACAACAACTTCTCGCTCAATTAGAATCGAGTCATCATATTCAACTGATTAAATCCCAAGCAACCGAGCATCCCACGAGCCCGAAAACCAGAGTACAAAAGATTTCTTGTAAAAGAACCGAGGAAATAAATCCCCGCCAAAAGCCAAAACGAATGCGACCGCAGCGGAATAAAAATACCTTCTGGTTAATGTAATCAACATTTATGGCGAGGTCTGATAGCTGTATGGTGCCGCGAGTGAGCTGCACCTCGAGTTGATCAATATCAATGTCGCCTAGAATGAAGTCCCCCAATTTCTTCTTCAAAATAAACTTGCAAACCCGTTTTATCGCCCACCGCGATAAGATCGCCTCCGCGAAATTCCACCGAAACATCTCTTGCGTCGGCGCTATACGTCGCCGCCGCCCTTCAAGTCTCTACCCTTAGATCGCGATTTGGCTGCTGCGGCGGCGGCGTTAGTTGCAATCAGCTATGAGATTCTGCCCATAGAATGAAACCGAAAGCGCAGAAGAAAATACTAAAATGGGGGAGGAAGAAAGAAGCAATATTCCTCAGGTGAGGAAGT